CTAATTACTAGATGCTTTTTTTTTAAAAAAAAAATTTTCACCAGTTGTGGTGGTACATGCTTGTAGTCCCAGCTACTCAGGAAGCACAGGAGGATCGCTTGAGCCCAGGAGTTGGAGGCCACAGGAAGCTAGATTGCATCACTGCACTCCAGCCTAGGGAACAGAGCAAGGCCTTGTCTCTTAAAATTTTATCTACGTATTTATTTATTGAGAAATAATCATTGTACGCATAGGCTTGTTTTCTTAAATGGCCTTTTGAAACAAGATGTATCAAAGCAAGGCTCTGGTTGTTGAAACTCCCTGTTTTTACTGTAGAGGCAGCTTTTTTCAGCTGAATGTAACTTGTAGTGTTCTGTTTGCTTCCAGTTGTCTGATATCTCTCCAATTGGACGGGATCCCTCTGAGTCCAGTTTCAGCAGTGCCACCCTTACCCCCTCCTCCACCTGCCCCTCTCTGGTAGACACTAGAAGCAACTCTCTGGATCAGAAGTAAGTACCCAGATTTCACTGAGAGAAGCCGATTTAAGAACCAAGGAAAATGTCAGTCTTCCTCTAGCTCAATGGTTCTCGACTGAAGGCAGCATTCGGAAATGCATGGGAGCCTTTTTGGCTATCACGGTGACTGGAGAGGTGCTAGTTACTGGCATCTCTTCACATTGTGGTTTACTAACGTTCTGCATCCTCAGCTCATTGATGAATCTCTTCATCCCTTTCTGCTAGTTTTGTCCTCCATTCCTACCCCTGCTTATCTTCCCAGTCATAATATCATAGGAAGTCCTACCTTGGGAAAAATATTTTGAAACTGTTTAGAAAAAAATATTTTGATGCCACTGCAAAATATGTAGGTAAGAAAAATAAAGACAAGGCCAGGTGAGGTGGCCCCCAGTGCTTTGGGATACCAAGGCAGGCGAATTGCTTGAGGCTGGGAGATCGAGACCAGCCTGGGCAACATAGCAAGATGCTGTCTTTACAAAAAATAAGATAGGCATGGTGGCCTGTGCCTGTGGTCCCAGCTATACTCAGGAGGCTGAAGTGGGAGGATCTCTTGAATTCAGGAATTCAGGGTTGCAGTGAGGTTTTATTATTGCACCACTGCATTCCACCTGGGCAACAGAGCAAGACCCTTTCCTTAAAAAAACAGAAAGAAAAAGACAAATTTGGTTAGGCACGGTGGTTCACACCTGTAATCTCAGCACTTTGGGAGGCTGAGGTGGGCAGATCACCTGAGGTCAGGAGTTCGAGACCAGCTTGACCAAAATGGAGAAATCCTGTCTCTACTAAAAATACAAAAAA